TGCTGAACACTTGCTCCTCATTGGCCCACAGACAGTTTAATGCCAGATGTATCTTATCCCTCTGTACCACAGAGCTTTAAGTGGCGTAAAAAATATTCTGCTTTCAACCAGAGGAAGCCTGGTCTTCATCAAGACATCTTATTTTAGATTATGCATCTGTTTGCATGTCCAGGTGATGGTGAGGGACCGGGACAAACCGTTGCTGATCATGCAGGGACACAGCGAGGGCGAGCTCTGGGCGCTAGACGTTCACCCCAAAAAACCTTTGGCTGTGACCGGCAGTGACGACCGCTCCGTCAGGTCAATACAGGCATGGATGGATGAATGGACGGGCCTAGCACGCCCAGGGTCAGGAGGCCAGAGGGTCAGGGAGCCCCTGGCCATCTGCGAAATATTCTCAAAACAGACACAAAACCACCAGAGAGACTCAATCTCCTGTGGTTACTGTTTCTGTTCACCTCCAGCATCTGCTCACTGTTTATTTTCAGTGTTTCAGGAGTTTCCTGTGGGACCAATTATACATGACAACACATAGTCAGCTGAACACAGGTGGTGATGGAAACAGAAGTGGGGAAGTGCTTCCTCACCCCTCCTGTTTTTGTTTGGCTGATGCTTTGCTGCTTCTCTGTTTCCAGCACAGCACATATGCAGTTTACTGTAGTAACATTCACAGATTTACCTGGACTCTGGGGGCATGTTCAGTGGCAGAAATGGAAATTAAGGAAAAAATCATGTTTGTTTCTGTGTTGTCTTTTTCAAGACGTACTGTAAATCCAAAAGGTTTTAAGGGTGTATCCACACACGACAGGCTCCCGTCAACACTGCCACTGTTTTCGCTCTCTCTGCTTACTCTTGGACCAGAAACGTAGGAGTTTTAAAGCCAATACTGATGCACACCTTGTGTGGTTTCTGGAGTCAGAGCTACTTTCAGAGGTTTTGTGGATACGAGCCTGGCTCTGTCAATCTCAGTCTACAGCTGAAGCATTACAGGTTCTGGGAAGGCTACAGGTCATTAAGTTAGAGTCTAGCTGTATCTGACGGTGTGTGTGTGTGTGTGTGTGTCAGGTTGTGGAGTCTGGTGGATCATGCCCTCATCGCTCGCTGTAACATGGAGGAGGCAGTGCGGAGTGTGGCGTTCAGTGTGGACGGATCCCAGCTGGCTCTGGGCATGAAGGATGGATCCTTCACTGTGCTGAGAGTCAGGTAACACCCACACGTCCACAGACATGTCAGCCGTGCACTGAGAAATACAAACATTAGCTGAATTACAATCTGAACTTGGTTTGTTGTGAGTGGCATTAACAGGACGCTTTCTCTACCTGACCCAGAGACATGACGGAGGTCGTTCACATCAAAGACAGGAAGGAGGTGATACATGAGATGAAGTTTTCTCCAGACGGAGCGCACCTCGCTGTCGGGTCCAATGACGGACTGGTGGACGTCTACGCTGTCGCCCAGAGATACAAGAAGGTAGGGACTTAGTGGACAGGCAGAGGTCGACCACCAAGATCCCGTTAACATGCTTCAGGTGTGATAGCTGTTGCTATAAAAAAAAAAATTGTCTGAGATACAGATTTAGCCAAAAATAAGTACTCCTTATACATCAACTACAGAAGTTTAGAAGCTCTCTGCTGTAACTCTTTATTTCACTCTGTTTGTCTGCAGGTAGGAGAATGCAGTAAATCCTCCAGCTTCATCACACACCTGGACTGGTCTGTAGACAGCAAACTCCTGCAGACCAACAACGGAGCTGGAGAGCGGCTCTTCTACCGAATGCCCAGTGAGTGTAATGTTTAAAGAATTTCATAGGATTAGGAGTCTAACAGGATTAACAGTCTGACTCATTTAGTCTTTCATAGCTACATGGTTTTTAGGTACGTATCAGGTGATTCAGTGACGGTGCTGTGTCTAAGGATTCAGATCGCTTGGACTACAAGAAAGCATGTCTTCACGCTTTGACTTTTTTCTCAAAATACTTGAACTAATTATCAGAGTTATGAGAATAAAGCCTACATTTCAAGAAAACAAGTCCTAATTATAAGAAGGAAAATGATGAGATTTTTAGTTTAATACTCCACCATGAGAGGCGTCTGTGTGCCCAGATGGTTTCATGCTGCTCACACAGCCAGTAGTTTTCCACACAGCAGCAGGACATGAGCTGGTGAGGAGCTGGAGGTGTGTCACGTCTCATCGCTGCCGGATGGATTTACAACTTAACCACTGGCAACTAAATGACCCCATCTTGATTTGTAGATTAAATTTTGAGGATTGATGGCGATCAGTGCTCACCTCAGTCACAAATAGGTTGTGTTTCATGTGAGTCCGAGTCTGACATCTTAATGTGAAGCGACAGCAGCATTAGGAAACTTTGTGTTGGCATTAGCAAATCATATTACAAGCAGTGACACTTGATAACAGGCTGTAGTGTTCCCTATTAAAATAATGTAGGAACTGTCTTTAGATGTCAGAGCAAACCACAAACACACACACAGGGCTGCAGGACACTGTTCACTGTCTACACAAACACAAAACCAGCTCTGCTTTGACTGAGAGCAGCTGTGGAAGATTAAAATCCACACATTCCCTTTGCTTGCTTTTACAAGACATTATTGGTGATAAAACTTTGCTGAATTACAGTTTTCAGTAGCATCTGCAGAGAAATAACCTAGCGCCTTCTTATTCACACACTGTTCTCATCTTTCTCCCTCCCTCTGCTGCAGTGGGGAAGTCGGTCGTCAGTAAGGAGGAGGTGAAAGGTCAGCGCTGGGCATCCTGGAGTGGTGTCCTGGGCCCCGAGGTCAGCGGCATCTGGCCTAAGTATTCTGATGAAACTGAGATCAACGCCGTAGCTGCCAATCATGCCGCCGCCGTGCTTGTTACCGGAGACGACCACGGCCTTGTTAAGCTCTACCGCTTCCCCTGTCTGAGGAAAGGTCTCTAGCTTTTCTTTCTCTGTTGCTTTCTGCCTTGTCTTTTTGTTGTCAACTGAGAGTTGTGTCTGTTCTGAAAGGTGCCAAATTCAAGAAGTACATCGGCCATTCGGCCCACGTGACCAACGTTCGCTGGTCACATGACCTGCAGTGGGTGCTGACCACAGGTGGAGCTGATCACACCCTCTTCCAGTGGAGGTTTCTGCCAGAGTCGGTCATGAATGGAGGACTGGACATCAACACACAAGGTAGGGCAACAGGGCAGAGTGAAGGAGATCAGAGCCATCTGTTGGATGCAGGAGTCTTTGTGGAAATCCCTGAGGTCCTGTAAGGGTTTCAAGGTTTCTGGACTCTTTGGAGGTCCTCTTAAACATGCCAAGGGTCTTGTCAGTGGTTCCAGGTTCTCCTCCTGGCTGTAGAGGTCTTGGTGGGAGTGCCATTGCTTCAGTATTTGACAGGTTGCCTTGAGTAAGGTGTAGCATCCCTCGGGAGTTCCAAGCAGGGCTACACCAGTATACAGTACTGCGCAATATCAGGATACTATGTTAGCCGCTAAGTACTGTAATACGTGTACAAGAGATTGCAGTGGGTAATTAAGTATGCTTTAGGGGTCACTGGGAAAGTTCCAAAGATCCCTGAGGTACATCTAGGGTTTTAGAAGTGTCAGAAGTCCTTGTCAGCTACAAGAATCCTTTGAATGAGTTCCAGATTTCCTGAGTTGGCCTTAGGAGTTCATGTGAGTTCTGAGGTCCTGATGCAGTTCCAGCTTTTCTTGTTGGTGTTCTTAATCAGCCAAATTGAAGCCAAGATGAACACGGTAAGTACGGGAGGTCAGATTTGAACTAATAAGTAGCTCTACAGTGTAATGAACAGTGTGGGTAGATGTCTGAACGTTGGTCTAGATGATTGAACAGAACTTGTCTGTGTCTCCTCTGCAGACAGTCATGGAGACTCCAACAGTGAGGAGTCTGACAGCGACGTGTCAGACGTCCCGGAGCTCGACTCCGACCTTGAGCAGGAAACGCAGATCAGCTATGACCGCCAGGTACGACCTACCTGACAGGCATGACTCTCTGGGTTGTTTCCACGAGGACCCGTGGCCCCTGAGCGAGGCAGCGAACCCTCAGCTGCTCTGGAGTGGCTTCACACGCTGCTGAGTGTGTTTTAATGGACGCTGCACTCTATCAGCTTCTCATTCTTATTCCCATCAGCCAGAGCGCGGCAGGGCTCTGGGCTGTTGCCATGGTGATAATGAAACACGCCTTATCTCCTCCGCCAGCCGCAGCCCGGCACATGTCCCTGCAGCTACCATGAGCTCATTGCTACACGTGCCGCAATAATGTGGTGTTTGGAGATAAGAGTTCAAAGAGTGTGTGTGTGTGTGTGTGTGTGTGTGTGTGTGAGAGAGACAGAAAGAAAAATGTGTGTTTAGATTTGTCAGTGGTAAGAGAAAGTGTTTGAGTTAAGACATTTTTCCCATCGCACTCACCCAGGAGGAAGAAGAACATGTTTCTTTTTACAGTAGAGAGAAAACAGGAGAGGTTGTGAAGAAGGTCTAGTCACAGCTCTAGAAATGTTCGGTTTTGTAAATGAAAAGCAGAGAGAGAGTGGAGCGCTGCCAGTCCCAAAGCTCCTGGGAGCAAAGCCTCTTTCTGTGAAGCTCTCAGGCAGCTGAAACACACCGACTCACCCTTGGCAGAATAATTTGCATGAAAAATGAGCAGGCGTATTCTCTGCAGAGTGTGTTCACTTTCATTTTCTCTAATAAACTCAGCCATATTTCTAGATAAGAGTTGCACCATCCAAAGTGGGTTGGATGCCGTATCTGCTAATCAGACCAGGTTTTCCTCAAGACATTTTCCAATTGCCTATGACGCCAACATTGTTTTGTGTGGGAACTACTGTTCCCATAATGCTTTGGAGGAGGACTTGAGCCCCATTTTCTAGCCTTTTTTTTTTTTTTTTTTTTTTTTTGGGCCCACCCCGGAAATTTTTTGTTTTTGTAGCTGAATTAGCTCTTAGCAGCTCCTGTTTGCACTGTATTATGGATGAACCGTCACTGGATTAGTTGAACTCTCAGGCTTTCAGAGTTTTGGTGTGTTAATGAGGTTTTTTTCCTGTGACTTCTAAGTGGCTTTGTGGATGTTGACTGTGATGTACAGGGACGTTATTTTCTGTGTGGTCAGGTCTGACTGATTCACAGAAAGAGTGGAGATTTTGGTGAAGTGTATGGCAGTAGGTTGCTGGAGGAGAAGGAGGGCAGAGGCGATTTCTGCAGACCCCTCACACCCTGGACACAAACTGTCAGAGCTCCTCCCCTCTGGACAGCGCTACAGGTCACTGTGCACTAAGACACCCAGACACAAGGACAGTTTCTTCCCCTGGGCCTTCACTCTGATCAACACTTAACCTGTGGCCGTGTAACAGGACGACAACCCTCGGTGTATTACCTTGGAAATATACCTTTGTATATATCTGTCTGAAAACTCCATCTAGACTGTGTGTATACACATGTATTTTATATTTATGAGCTTTTTATTTTATTTCCTAATGCACATTCCTTCTGTCCTGGAGTCAATTTCCTTGTGTGCTCAACACACCAGACCGACAAAGCTGATTCTGATCCTGATCTGTGTGCACCTGAATCGTTCTGCTCCACAGACGATGATGGTCCCTTTTGATTTGCTCTAGTGCCACCCTCAGGACAAGCTGCGTTTTTAGTGCCACAGCTGATGAGGCAGTTGTGTAACGTGAATGTTTCCGTGTATGTGTTTTGCAGGTGTATAAAGAGGACCTGCCTCAGCTGCGTCAGCAGAGCAGAGAGAAGAAACAGCAGGTTGGCTCTCTGAAGAGGCAGAGAGGACCAGACCAAGGCCTCCGGCTGCAGTTTGTTCATGGGTAACACCTCAGCTCGTCAGCGTGTATAAAACCCCCTCAGACATGAACCTCATTACATAAATGCAGTGGCAGTTTTACATGTTGGCCTCATTCTGAAAAAGTCCCTGTTACATAAAACTCAGCAGTCATATGAGGTTGGTCGGTTTTATCGTGGAGCCGTTCTGAGGTGAACGCTGTCAGAAAAGGCTCAGTAATCACAGCCGTGAAAGGAGCCGTTCAGATCCACTTTGTTGGTAACTGTGACACTTCTCTGTGCAGATACCGTGGTTACGACTGCAGGAGCAACCTGTTCTACACGCAGGGAGGGGAGGTGGTGTACCACGTGGCTGCGGTGGGCGTGGTCTACAGTCGGCAGCTGCACAGCCAGCGCTTCTACCTCGGGCATGATGACGACATCCTGAGCCTCAGCATCCACCCGCTGAAGGACTACGCTGCTACGGGACAGGTTCACACAGCGCCACGCATGTGCTCTAACTGACCATGATGAGAAGTATATGTTAAAGTGCCCACTGTTTGTGTGCAGGTGGGGAGGGACCCGGCCATCCATGTGTGGGACATCCAGACACTGAAGTGCCTCTCGCTGCTGAAGGGATTTCACCAGAGAGGAGTGTGTGCTCTGGACTTCTCAGGTACCCTGTGTGTGCATGTCTGTCTCTGGGAGGACTGGTGTGGCTTCCAGGCCTTGAGACTGAGAATGTTCGTATGCGTGTTTGCTAGACTGCCGTGGTGAACATGGTTAGCTTTACCTGCTAAACATTGGGGCGGTCATCTCTGGCTGCTGCACCACCCTCCGCAGCAGCACATCTGGTGTGGTGATCAGCACAGTACAGCTCATGTCACTCCACTATTAATGGCTCGTCTGTAATAGTGGCCACTAGCACAGTACCCACCTGCAGACATCTCTGATTCAGGTGTAGGAGGCTTTTCGCTGACTACGTTTAGCAGATGAGTGCCTAGTCCTGCTGTCACCGAGTGCTGTTGTGGTTCGGACTGGACTTCATTTGTATGCTGCTTTGGACAAAAGCATCAAATGAGCAAATGGTAATGTAAAGGATGGGCCAACAGAGCTGCTAGCTAACACAAAGTCCTGATCTGGGGAGCACACGTGATAAAATGGCTGTTTTTGTGGGATTACATCAAAAACTATTGGTGCAGGCTTTGTGATGTGCATCACACAGTGCAGGTATTTGTTGTTACTCTAGTTATTTACTCACAAAAATGACACAAATCCCAGAAAATGGACAACCTGGAGTGAATCAGTAAAGGTACTTTAACATCTACTCAGGAGAAGTTGTTAGATAGTTTTTATGTTTTCCCTGCAGCTGATGGAAAGAGTCTGGTGTCAGTGGGAGTCGATGACGCACATTCGATCGTAGTCTGGGACTGGAAGAGAGGAGAGAAACTCGCTACTGCCAGGTACTGTGAAAAGTACGACTAATACTTCTCTAAACTAAAAGCGGGCGTTTATAACTGCTACTTACTATACTCACTGCTGCGATTGTAACTCCTCTTCAGATACTCACTAATGCTGATACCACAGGTATTACTATTAGTAGTACTTCTGCTCCTACTTGTATCATTACCTCCATCATTACCACTGCTCCCACACAAGTACTGTTACTACAGCCAGCACTAGTACCAGGTGGTATTTTGTTACTGCTTGTTATAGCAGTGGATGTGTGGTAACTGACCGCCACAACTACTGCTGCAACAGTTACCATTAGTCCTACACTGATGTCACTACTCCCAGTACTAGTACAACTACTACTGATGCAACTAACTTTGGCTGTTTCTACTACTTTGCTACTAGTCAGATTGCAGTGGAAGCCAAAGTACGTTTCCTGTGAGAGTCTTTATCGTGCATGAAGCTGCGTCTCTTTTCTGCAGGGGTCATAAGGAGAAGATATTTGTGGTGAAGTGTAATCCCATGCTGATGGACAGACTGGTCACTGTGGGAATCAAACACATCAAATTCTGGCAGCATGCAGGTAAAACCGGAGGAAGGTCGGATTCAGTCAAACATAGATCCTCATTACTGTAGTAGTTTTTGTGCCACGTGTAGTTTGCCACTTAATGTTTTCTGGCATTGAACCTGCCATTTGTGTTACATTTATTTCCCCACCTGTTCACCGTAAAGTCATTTATACTCTGGGGTCGTCTGCTGACCTTTAGCTGCTGCAACAGCAGCGTTCCACAACAAATGAATCTGACGTAGCCAGATGTGCAGCCAGGTGTTCTGAAAACTACAGGAAGTGAGTTGTTGTAGTTTGACCTGGTGATGAGCTTCCACAGTTCTGTAAAAGGTCATACTCCTCCTGTGAGGTACTGTTTACCCCAGGCACATGTGAATGTGCACATGATGCATATGTTTGTAGATTCAGTGCGACTTACTCCTTCCAAAGACAGAATTACATCCCTGATCAGGTAGTTTAGTAAGGCTTCGTCTGACTGACTGCGTCTCTCTCTGCCTGCTAGGTGGCGGTCTGACCTTCCGGCGCGGTGTATTCAGGAGTGTCGGCCGGCCGGAGACCATGATGTCGGTGTGTTACGGCCGCAGTGAGGCGCTGGTCTTCTCCGGCGCCACCACTGGAGACGTTTACATCTGGAAGGAACCGCTACTGCTGAAAACGGTCAAAGCCCACGACGGCCCGGTGTTCGCCATGTTCTCCCTCGACAAGGTGAGGAGGGCAGGGCTGAAGGTTTAGAGCCCAGCGGCCTGGATCTGTGATCTTAGCCTGTTGGTCACCTCCCAGAGCTCGCAGGCAGACCTGCCCCTTTTCATCACAGCACTGTCTAACAATTATTAGACTTTTATGATATTTTATTACTTTAAATCAAACTTTATTCAACTTCTGGTCTGTGTCATATCGTCATCTCTAAATTAGAGACTAACTTATGGATTGACTGTAAATATGTAACATGAGGTCGCAGGTCAGAGATCAAGGTCAGTGACTAACCTCTGTCCTATTTCCCTGATTCGGACTGGTTGTTGGAGGCGTACAGCCATAAAGCAGTAATTCTAGCTCAATTTAAAGTGGCTGGAATTCAGCATAATGTCAGCTGTCGTCTCTGTGCACAGTTCCTACATAATGTGTGTGTGTGTGCGTTGAGTCAGTGCGGTGTTCAGAGGACGACAGGTGTCGATTAAACAGAGCGACTGCTGCTCCAGACCATCCTCCTCAGCGTGTGTGTGCGTCGCACTCGGCCTCAGTCATGTTGAACATGAGCGTCGGCTAAATGCCCAAACAGACGTGTCATCTGTGTCTCTGCCTCTTCCTCTCTGTTCTTTCTTCACCTCGCTGTCTTCATTCAGCGTCTGTCTCACTGTGTAGCAGGGTTTACAGACAGACTGCCAGGAGAGTCTGGATTTACCAAAAACTCCTTTAAATCCAGAATCTCATTTCTTTGTTAGCTCATGTTTAACATGGTTTTACAGTATCTCTTCAACCTGTTTCTCTGTTAAACCTGTTTTTTTACCTTTTCACAATAACTCCTGATGCCCACTTTTTAAGAGCCTGTGTTTTGTAATAGTTTACCATCAGCAGTGTTCATGGTGGAATCTAATATTTACAGCTCAGAGTTACACTGAAATAAAAAGGCTGTAAAAAGACAGTGAGTGTAAATCTTCAGAGGAGACGGAGTCACGTGGAACATGTCTGAAGATCTCAGCAGGAGGACGAGGCAGAAGTCTTGTCAGGAGAAGAAGGAGGGAAGGAAGGATGTGACACTGAGGGAAAACAGGAGTGGGAGGAATCTTGACATGTTTGTTTCTGTTTTCCTGAATTAATGTGTCACATGGTTTGGCCCCTACTTATTTATCTTTAACTATTAATAAGTCAGTCAAAGTAATTAAATCAAGTGTGTTCAGGGCTTTGTGACGGGCGGGAAGGACGGCGTGGTGGAGCTGTGGGATGACATGTTCGACCGCTGTCTGAAGACGTACGCCATCAAGAGAGCGGCTCTGTCCCCGGACTCTAAAGGTACACGCGCACACACACACAGTACAACGCCACTCAGTATGCCCTGGTCGGTACCTCTACCATGTGACGTAGCCATAAGTTCTGCCAAGTTAATCCAGCTTTACTGATTTTTGGCCAAAGCTCAGGAGGATGAAGCCAATTAATGTGCGACTGTGTGACTCTAATGAAAGGCCGTGTTTCTCATTTTAATGAACACAGACTCTATTTTAAATGTATCTGGGATTTTATTCAGTAGGTTCTGCTGTCTGGTTTTATGCTGCTGTGTATGTGTGCAAAACATTAATATTTACTGATTATACACTACAGTCACCATCATTTACTGTAATGGGCTGTTTGCAAATATGTTTTCAGTAAAGTGCAGAATTGCCCTTGAATTAAACAGAATGAAGTGTAAATATGCAAAGCAAGTGGATATTGCAAATATGTTGAATTAAACAGAATGAAGTGTAAATAAGTCATTTACACTGTGCTTATGGCTGTGTTGGAGTGGCCAAGACAGACAGAATTAGACGAGTCCAGGACCACGACCTTCACACAACGCGGTGAAGAAGCAGGAACCAGACGACATACTTGTTAAAGATGTTGTTACTGTGGCAGAGAGACACACTGCTGTACAGCTGCACCTTGTGGCTGAGTCTCGCTCTGTTTTAGTGAAAACTGGAAAGATAAAGCTGAGTTTATTGTCATTTCATAGCTGTACCCACTTCTCCTCTAGGATCATAATTTACAGTACCTGAGTACATTTACTCCAGTGCTGGACTTCACTCCATGTCAGAGACGAACCGTGTACTTCTTACCACACTACATGTATCTCGACTACGTGATTACTGACAGTTAAATTCCGTTGTGATGACTGGTGTGTGTGTGCGCAGGCCTGTTGCTGGAGGACAACCCGTCAATCAGGGCCATCACTCTGGGTCACGGCCACATCCTGGTGGGAACCAAAAACGGAGAGGTTCTGGAGATTGACAAGACTGGGCCCATGACCCTGCTGGTGCAGGTATACTGGGAGTGTGCATGTATTGAATTTGTAACCATATTTGTGAGGACACTGTGGCCCCTTCGAAGGGCCGTTTGAGGGTTCAGACCTGGTTTTAGGTTCAAGAGAAAACCAGGTTTAGGTTAGCGTCGGGGTCGGGTTAGATGTTTAGCTGTGATGGTTAGGGGATGCAGTATGCCAGTGAGTGCGGCCAGCGTGTGGGTACATGGTTGTGAAGACATGGAGGTGGGTCTTGTGTGTGTGTGTGTGTGTGTGTGTGTGTGTGTGTGTGTGTGTGTGTGTGTGTGTGTGTGTGTGTGTGTGTGTGTGTGTGTGTGTACCTCAGGGACTCTATATAGTTAGTAGTCTGGTGTGACATCTGTTGCCATGGTGAGGAGAGCTGCCTGCTGCAGATCAGTAAGCAGTCACACACACACAGCATGTATTGAACGTTGTCGACACGCTTCTGTGTTGCTGAACACGTTTAGTCTGTGTGCTCTGGCTGCATGAAGGCTGGTGTTTGCTGATGTGGGTGTGTAGTGATGCATGCAGAGTGTGTGACGGTGTGTGCTATGGATGTCTGGTTAAGATGTAGTACTGGTATAGCTGTTGTGTAGTTACCGACAGGTTCAGGTGATTTTTAATGGTATGACAGCAGTACGACAACAGTATGACAAAGAGAAAGATGGGAGATGTTTTCTAAGTGTCAGCGTTGTGAATGCACTTACAGGTGATGGTGCAGTTTAACGTGAACAGTAGAAGTCAGTGCGAGTAAACCGTGTGAGGCTGCCGTCAGTTCCACCTAAAGCCTCACAGTTAGTTGTGTTACTGTTGTGTAGTCTGGTGTATCGGACACAGTCATTTTTCAACTGTCCTGGTTATGATTATAGAAAAACTCCATATGTGAAGCTAAGCAGAGGCCCTGAGAGGCTTCAGGCCCCCGGATCTCATCTGGCTTGTCTGCAGATGTCTTTAGGGACGTACACTAAATGTCTGTCTTCCTACTGTGTGTGTGTGTGTGTGTGTGTGTGTGCGTGCAGGGTCACATGGAGGGCGAGGTTTGGGGTCTGGCCCCACACCCCCTCCTCCCCATATGTGCCACCGTCAGCGATGATAAAACCCTGCGACTCTGGGAGACGTCAGCCAATCACCGCATGGTGGCCGTCCGCAAGCTGAAGAGAGGTCAGATAAAGGAGCAGACCGCCAGTTTTGTTTGTTTATTTATCTGGTTCCCCGTTAGCTTTTCCTTCAGTGGCTGCTGATCCTCCTGGGGCCCAAAAATGCACCATAAAGGATTTACAATATAAGGAGTATCCTAGGATATAATAACCAATGGTAGTGCTAATGCAAACATTATCAGGCCATTTCTATGAAAACGGAGTAGTGGCAGTAGGTGATCCTTTACCTGGCTGGGGCTGCAGACACTGAGGGCATCTCCTGATGAGCTGCTGTTGTCTAGCTTGGTTGGTACTGAATCATTATTCCATCGATGACTTTCATCGTTGTGTGCTCTTGTGGGTAAAATCAGCAGAGCAGCAGTGGGTTGACACTGATGTGGTTCAAAGTTTCCACCAAAGCACCAACGACTGTGTGAACCTCCCACAACACTACATAGATGCATAAAGCAGATTCAGGGTCCAGAAACGAGCGAGCTGAAGGTAGGCCCCTGTGTGTGCTGTCCAGGCGGTCGCTGCTGTGCCTTCTCTCCTGATGGGAAGGCCCTCGCGGTCGGTTTGAGCGACAGCAGCGTGTTGGTGGTGAACGCCGACACGTTGGAGGATCTGCTGAGTTTCCACCATCGCCGCGACGCCATCTCTGACATCCGCTTCTCCCCAGGTACGCCCACACTCATTAACACAGTCATCAGTTTGTCTCTGCTCAGACATATTCACTCATCCCCACTTGAATCTGACTCAGACTCAGGTAAATACCTGGCGGTGGCGTCACATGACGGCTTTGTGGACATCTACAACGTGCTGAGCAGTAAGAGAGTGGGGATCTGCAAAGGAGCGTCCAGTTACATCACACACATGGACTGGGACGCTCGAGGTAACACACAGTCCCGAGTCTTTACCTGCTGTTCAGGTGTTTTCTTGCTGTTCATTCATTGTGACGTCGGAGCATCTCTGTGCACGGTGGTGTATGAACAGTTTGTTTTTATGCTCCTCTGCTGGAGGGGGAACATTTCTCTGAGCTCATCTTCAATCTCACTGTAACACCTGGACGTACCTGGGGGGTTTGTGACATCACAGCTGCTGTAGTTTGGATCCACACGGTGGTGTAACAGTAGAAGACGTAGAGGTGGACCGCTGTAGCAGTCAACAGTGGTTGTTTAGTTTTTCTTACCTATTCACACTGTAAACTTTTAAGGTGTTAAGTTTCTTTCCCGTGTGTGTGTATGTATGTGTGCGTGTGTGTGTGTGTGTGTGTGTGTGTGTTACAGGTAAGCTGCTGCAGGTGAACACAGGAGCCAAAGAGCAACTTTTCTTTGAAGCCCCGAGAGGAAAAAGACAAACCATCAGAAACTCTGAGGTCAGTGTGTGTGTGTGTGTGTGGCCGACCATTTCCACAAGTTGAGCATCACGTGAGGTGGGAAATAAAACTCCTGCCGTACTCCTGTATTTTAACTCATCTTTCCAGACATATTTTAGCCGAGGAGAAATCACAGGCTATAGTCTGAGACAGAGATGGATTGTCAGCGGGACAGAGACAAACACGTCTCCAGGGGGCGCTGGGGAGTTGGAAGGGAACCAAAGATACTGAGGGAGGAGAATTAAATTCAAATATGGCTTTATAACTCACACAGACATGACCCACTTCCACTTCCTGAGGCTCTCATCATCTCTGACGTCCATCCAGAACAAACCTCCTGCAGAACCTGCCTGAGAATCCTCCTGTTTTTAAGTTTCCTTCAGTGTCACAGTGATGCAGCGAGAGCTGTGTGCACGTCCATGGGGCCACTGCTCAGTCTGCTGCTGGTGGTGGGGACACTTTGACTAGACCTGAACCAGTATAGGATAAAAATGGGTGAACACCCCTGATGGGGTTTAACAGGCTCCTGCTCTCCTGATGGTTTTTGGATTTAAACGACAGTAGCAGCGCCCGGTTCACAAAAGCCACTGTGGCTGGAATTATTACAGGGTGGGGGTGTGCTCTGGATAAGTCAGTGAACAGCACAGGTAACGTTCAGCCTCCTGTAGAGAGACAAACCCTGGCTCAGGGTCCCAGGTTCCTGGTTCTCTTTCTGTCTCTATCTTATTCTTGTGTGACTGTGTGTTTTCTGTTCTGTGTATGTGTGTGCACAGCTGGAGCGGCTGGAGTGGTCCAGCTGGACGTGCGTCCTGGGTTCGAGCTGTGAGGGAATCTGGCCGACGCACAGCGACATCACCGACATCAACGCTGTGTCGCTCAGCAGAGACCGAACGCTGCTCGCCACTGGAGACGACTTCGGCTTCCTCAAGCTGTTCAGCTACCCCGTCAGGGTACGGCACACACACACTCTACAGTGTCGGGGTCCGTCTGCACCAGTTCTGCCCTTTGATCCAGTTTAGAGGTTCTGGTTCTTTACTTCTGCCTCTTTACTTTTCCTCTGCAGGATTTTAAAGGGAAATCTTGTACATTTGACTTTGCTCCACAGAGTCACTGGTGTAAACAGGTGCGTTTCTTTTCTCCCTCCTTGCTCCAGGGACAGTACGCTCGTTTTAAGCGTTACGTGGGTCACAGCGCCCAGGTGACCAACATCCGCTGGGCCCAGGACGACTCCACCCTGCTGACAGTGGGCGGGGCCGACACTGCCCTAATGATCTGGGCGAGGGAGCAAGGGGGTGTGGTCGGCGGAGAGGCAGAGGGGTCTTTGATTCGTGACAACTGTCCACCTGTGGACAGCGAGGAGTCGGACGACGACATTGAGGAGGACGGAGGTGTGTGCTTGTGTATTTAATGATATTGTTATGACATGGTTCTGCACAGGCCTCGAACCAGAACCAGAACCTGAACCTGTGCCCACACCTTCAGACCCAGCAGTGGTGGTGCTGAATAGAGCGGCAACAATTAGTCGCAGCGGTGGAGAAAGCATCAAGATCCTTCAGTTAAAGATGTGAAGGTTATAAGAACAGCCAGCAGTCATGCCAGCCACAGAGGAGCTGTCTGCAGGTAAATGTCAGAAACAACAGCAGGCCGGATTGCAGCACTCATTGTGTGTTTGTGTGTGTGTGTGTGTGTGTGTTTAAAGGCTACGACAGTGATGTTGCCCGGGAGAAGGCGGTGGATTACACCACTAAGATGTATGCCATCAGCATCAGAGAGATGAGAGGGACCAAACCTCACCAGCAGCTGAAGGAGCTGTCTGCTGAGGAGAGGTATGCACACATACAATCACGCTCCGCACTGTAGCACGAGGCCCAGCGAGTCTGTCGGTTACTAACAGAAAAACAACTGAGGGTACAGAGCACTTTTCAGACGTTTACCTGACGTGCTGTTGAAACGTAAACAGAGGAAAATCCTTATTCTTAAGTCTTTTTCTGTCTCATATAAGTGAACCATGAAACCGTAAAGTCGAACATGTGTGTAGATTTGTGTGTAGACTGGCTCATGTTAAGTGAAGCGAACACAGTTGGTTCTGTCCCGTCAGACTGTTTCCTCTGGTGATTAACAGCTTTCAAACTCTGTAAAACATTTGCAGTGTGGCAACACTTTATTTTACAGGCCCGGTATATTCCAGTTAATTTCATGGAAGCTGGTGTTTAGCTGTAAATCACAAGGATATTTCCAAGGAAAACTGGTGCAGCTGTTCAATTTCTTATCGGTTACATGAAGCCATGGAGAAAGTAACTAACATGCTCCATAGTATTCAGAGTTCTGACGGCCCAGGGGAAGAAGCTGTGCTCATCGTATTCAAGTTTAAAATACGGTCGATTATGTAGCAGGGAAGTGAACAGTGGTTCAAAAACAAACAGGCCTGGAGTTTCCTAGAAAGACTGTGGGGTCTTTTTGTAATTTACAGCTAAACACCAGCAAATCTTTAGGAACATACTGTGGGGAAGAGTTTCCAGGATATTAGCTGTTACCTACAATTCAGAGCTTCAGAAACTGTGTGTGTGTGTGTGTGTGTGTGTGTGTGTGTTGCTGTTCTTGACATTTGCTGTGATGTCCCTTGAATTATTCTGCTTCATTGACTTTGTCGCACTGAGACTGTCTTTAGAAACTGGGCTGAAACTTTTCTCTGTGTTTTCATGAACGATTTGTCTTAGTGTGTGTCATCAGTGGTCGTTGTAACTGTGTGTTCCCAGTGATTGTTGGAGTGTGTGTGTGTGTGTGTGTGTGTGTGTGTGTGTGCTTCTTTAAATCAAACGGATGTTGTATCTCATGCATGCTCAGGCTTCTGCACGGTCCCGGGACCTTGTCACAGCTCAGTTTGCTGCATGTCGCCATGTTGCACATGCTAACAGATTATTATAACTATAACTGGTTATTATCACTTCAGTGTTGATGAGCGTTTCTCTTCAAAACACTTGGCAACAAAGGGCACCTCAGCGGTTCACATGCGTTCTGCAGGGACAAAACTAAAAGCTAACATTTAATTTGCCAAAACATGACTAACTGAACTACTAGGACCATGGGCACATATGACAGCCCACCTGCCTCCCCGTTGCCTGGTGTCCAAAGCTTATCCCTGTCCTTCCATTTTTGTTTATTTGCTGCTGAACATCACAAACTGGTGCTCATAGCCCACGCTAGAGAAATCCCCACTGATGAAGACGGCGCTGTGTGATTCAAACTTTCTGACAGCAACTCGTTACATCTGTTTACTTAACCGTCGTCATTAACTATCGACGACGATGACGTCTTGAAGGGTTGTCCCAGTTCACAGGGGAAGATCTCAGCCACTGCTCCTTGTAAATCTGTTTTGATGGTTAACTTAAAACGAGGGGTTGGGGTAAAAAAATAGGATTTGGGCCTTTCTAGTCATTTTGCATGTTTTTGTAGCAGTTTCATGTTTATACTTTTTCGATTGGCTTCCCAACAAGAAATGTAGTCACATCAGAGCTGTGCAAAGGTTCATGAGTCTCCCCAGGGCCTGTGCCTCTGTCCCCCCAGAAGCCCCATTATGGCTGTGACAGCTCATGAACATTTCCACACATCTGCCCAGCTCTGATTTGTTTATACAGCTAAGTGCACAACTTCTCGTCTTGACTCAGAAGCTGCAGCCAGATTTGCTGGCATAGTCACATGGGCTGCGTCAGCATCTGCTTGCTTGTTTCTGTCCGTCGGTGGTGCCCTTTCTTCCTGAGTGTTGCTGCTGCTCTCTGCCTTGCTCGTAGAAACTCTTAATATCTGTGTTGTGTTTTAACTTGCATTCCCCTGGAGGCAGGGCATTGTCAAGTAAGTACCACCTGATACCGACTGTGTGGATGACTTTCAGACAGGTCTGGTTCAGTTATATGTTCAGTATGCATTATTACAAAACCAGGTAAACAGTGTGTGGTGAGGCAGTTGATTTCCAAAATCCAGTCTGGGGGGGTGACGGTGGAAGAGAGTGAGGGTGAACATCCTGAGTAAGAGAGAAAACCGTACACTGGTGCGATTCTTAGGCTGAGTGCTGTGATAGTCATTCAGACCCTCTCTGGGAGATTGTGCTGAGTTGGTGGACTCTGTATGGTTTTGTGTGTTTGACATCTGGTGGTGACAGGAAAAATATTTTCTGTGTTAATTCTTCTAGTTCTTCTTATAACGATTATAAATTACATGAGTTCTTTCTTCTCTTCATCCTCTACTTCCTCTCATTTTAAATCAGTTGCAAAATGAAAGCCTCTCCTCCTCCCTTCTGTCGTAGCTCAGTCAAACCTGATTCAGTGTGACTTCCACTTCCTGAGGATATCATTACCTCTGTCCCTCCAGAACAAACCCCCATAGATCCACTGAGAAATCAAAGAACCTGAGAACCCTCCTGTTTTTAACTTGCTTCAGTGTCACAGTGATGCAGTGGCAGTTTTCTGTACACCCATGGGGACACTGCCAACATATTAGACTTCCCGTTCATATCCCCCAAAGAATTATGGGTATGGGGACAGGAACCCCTGCACTAAATCACCTGTGCAGATCCCTCCTGAGCAGTGTTGAAGTCAGTGTTGCTCCCAGATAAAAGCTGCCTGCAGCAGTGAGACCACATGTCCCCACCTCACCCCTGTTTGTTCCTGACTCCGGACTCTCAGGTTGCCTGTGCACGTTAGCCTGTTCACACAATTAGCCACACTAGCATGTTAGCTCAAAAATAGGAACAAGCACCTGTAGCATGGTAGCATTTTGTTAGCATGTAGCTAGAGCCCGCTTGGCTTGTCTGAGGCACGAGGCCTTTATATGTGTGCGTCTGAGCGAGTGTGCTCTCTGTATATGTGTGTGATTGTGTGTGCGTGTTTTCTAAAGCTTTGTACCTTGGTTCTGTCCCTCTGCTGTCCAGGGGATCCAGGTAACACCTGTCCACCTGTCGTCTGTTGCTGTTTGCCTCTTCATTGTGTGTGCATTTCTCACACTCCTGTCGACACTGCCTCACACTGTCCTGAGCTTACAGGTCATTTTTCAGGTCATCTATAAAGCTGCTGTATGTTTGTCAAAGTAACTGCACAGTAAGTTGTAACTACAGTGTGTTCAGTAGGAGAGGCTTTGTTTACTTAACATGTGACAGAAGGTCATAGGCCACTTTCTAACAGTTCATTACAGCCGGCCACAAGAAGAAACATCTGTTTGCATCTGTCCTGTCTGTCTCTACTAGATATAAACACATAAAGGCCTCGTCAGCCTGTGAGCTGTGTCTCTGCTGCTGCCATATTGGAGCAGGGTTTGGTTTTTGGTTGTTTAATGAAAAAGATCACATCACATTTCACAGATGTTATTTTAGAACATTTACTTTACTGTTTAAATTTATTTCTCTTATTTACTGTTAAGCTATTGTGGTATCAAAATTATCTCATGGCAGCCATTTTAGACTGCAGCAGGACAAAAGAATAAGCTTAGAAACTAATTTATCTTAAATATTGTATTCTAGAAATATCTGTCACTCCCTACGAAAGACAGTGCTTTGGTATGAAACTCCAGGATTTATTTTAAACAAGGTTGCTGTGTCATAAATACACTTCTGGTATCTGTAACAAACCAAACAGCTGGAAAATCTGTTGTGAATTCGGCAAGTTATGATGATTTAAAATACGAGCAAACCTGCCGTCACACGAGGTTTCCCTGTACCAACATGGCAGCAGCTCATGAGGAATCTGTGGGTTTCTATCTATGGCCTCTGCTGTCTGTCTGTGTGAGTTACAGTGCTGTCTGCAGGCTGACCATGCTGTCTCACTGACTGTTCCTCCACCTCTCTGTCTCACACTGGGATATCACTGACTGGTTGATTGATTATGTGATTAACTGATCTTCCAGGCCTCCGGTGAGTCGAGCAGCACCACAGCCGGAGAAGCTGCTGAAGAACAACGTGTCCAAGAAGAAAAAACTGGTGGAGGTATGTTTGTCTTTCTGTCTGTCTCTCAGCCTGTCTGTCCTTCCCCCTGTTCACCTGTCTGCCTCCGCCCTCTGCAGGACCTGGTTTTGGACCATGTGTTTGGTTTTCGGGGCTTCGACTGTCGTAACAACCTGCACTACCTCAACGAAGGCACTGAGATCGTCTACCACACTGCTGCCACCGCCATTGTCCACAGCCTCAGCACCGGTAACCATAGCAGCACATATGGACCCGCATGTTTTTCATGCTGCCTCACATATTTCCTCTTTTGTCTGTGGCCTCTAGTTAACGTACAGTAAAGGGACGCCTCAGTGTGTTACAAACAAACCAGAGTGATGTGTTTGCGTGTCCATCTGTACTGCAGGAATTCAGAGTTTCTACCTGGAGCACACTGACGACATCCTCTGTCTGACCGTCAATCAGCACCCAAAGTACAAAAACATCATTGCTACTGGACAGATCGGTACGCTCAGTGTATGTGAGGATGCCTGTTGCTCTTTCTGCATGGCAGCCTGTTTCTTTACTAAGTCGTCCTGCTTCTCTCGCCCCTGCTTCCTGCCTGCTTTACTTTGTTCCACTGAGAGAACACAAACAGGGTGAAGCTTAATATCACTGACAACATTGAGAGCAGTTAGCAGATGTACAGTACATTTTTATAAAAGTTTGAGTCTAACACACATGATGTAGCTTAGCCTCACTTAGGCAGCGAAGCTCAACCACAGATGTCTGTGTTTGCTGTCATGGCTGATGTTCACCTGTATGAAACGACTCACTGCAGGTTTCATGTTTTTGTTTTTGTGTGTATGTGTTTTGGCTGGCCTTATTTGTCTCCATCGCTCTCACAACACCTCAGGTGACATCAGTGAACTCCCAGGTAAAAACAGAAGCAACCTCACTGTCTCTCCCATCACGACAGACACTCTGAAACCCAGAGGCAACCTGCCGCACGAGTCCTAGGCTGTTGGCAGTAACTCAAGTGCTGTCTGTAGAAGTTCTAGTTGCATTGCAGCATCAGCGTAAACCAGAAAATGTGTCCTCCAGGCGTCTGCTGGTTTCACTTCTTGTCTCTAACGTTTACTCTTTATACTCTTATCAAAGCCCTTTCATTTTCCTCTGGTGATACATCTGAGAGCAGGGAGGTTTTTCTTGTTGGCCTTTAAGTACCTGTGGAAAATTCTGCAGATCTGGAGATTTCACAATGCAACCTTTTCCTTGCCAAGTTGGTGTAGACGCCGTTCTGGTTCTCAGGGTGTCTGAGAAATGCACTGATCCCTCTGCTCTGGTTTCCCCTAGTCACCCTCACATTTTGCTCCTATGTTTGTGACTTCTTCTCATGATATAATGAAGCCTAAGCCTGCATCCTGTCCCCTGGTGTCTGTGCAGGCAGCACTCCATTGATCCATGTGTGGGACGCGATGAGTAAACAGACTCTGTCCATCCTCCGCTGTCCTCACTCTAAAGGCGTCAGCTACATTAACTTCAGCGCCACAGGGAAGCTGCTGCTGTCCGTCGGGGTGGAACCTGAACACACCATCACTGTGTGGCGCTGGCAGGAAGGTCAGACCGACATCTGATTGATAACAAGCGCTCATTGAGGCGTCAGCAAGAAGGTTCTGGGTAGGAAGTAGGAAGCACGGTTGTTTCCTGCTTATTAGGAAGCAGTCATGCATAGGGTTGTTCAGTCCCACTGTTAATAAACGTATTTATAACATTTAAAGAAGTGGGAGCCTGGTGATGGTTGGCTCAGATCAACAGTAGTTAGTGCCACAAATACTCAGTAACTGTGTCTGCTTCAAAAACTGATACACCTTTGATGCAGCTCAGGAGGCCAGAGTCAGTCCAGGTGACGAGCTGTGAGCGGTCAAACACTGTAAAGATATTAATTTGGTCAGCACAGGACAAAATACCAAATGAAACGACAGCGTTGTCTCCACTGCAGGATCCAGGGTGTGCAGTAAAGCCGGACACCCGGACCGGATCTTCGTGGCGGAGTTCCGGCCAGACTCGGACTCTCAGTTTGTGTCGGTGGGAATCAAACATGTGAAGTTCTGGACGCTGGCGGGCGGTGCACTGATGTACAAGAAGGGTGTGGTGGGGACGGTGGAGGATGGCCGGATGCAGACGATGCTGTCTGTTGCCTTTGGTGCTGTGAGTTCACTGCTCATTTATTATTGTTCTTGTTTCAGTGGTGGAAAGTAACAAAGTACAAGTTCTGTACTGTTTGTACTTTACCTGAGTACTTCCACGTTCTCCTCCTTCATCCTGTGACTCCATGTCAGAGACAGACCATGTACTCTTTACTACACTACATGTACCTGATAACTTCAGGTCCAGAACCAGATGAATCAAACCAAACCCAGTAGAACCATCAGACTCTATTGATCCCAGTAGGAAATCCACCAGCTACCCAGCAGGATGGAAAGTACTTCCCAGTATAAGTATATAAGGTAGTTACCATCAGCTCCACCTTTACCAGCTGTAGCATTAAAGTGATGGACACAGTGGAGAAGCTGGCTTGTACGGAAGGAGGGCCGGGGCCACTAAATGTCCGTGTCCAGGGGCCTGTTGCCTCAGACCTGTCCCCTCCGGTAACAGAGAGGAGCACAGTTCAATAACCAGTAATGTTTTGAAGCTGATGTATTTGTTAATGTTGTGCGTTTGCAGAATAACCTGACATTCAGCGGAGCCGTTAACGGGGATGTGTACGTGTGGCGGGACCACTACCTGCTGAGGGTAGTGGCGAAGGCTCACACCGGGCCGGTCTTCACCATGTACACCACGCTGAGAGACGGACTCATCGTCACCGGCGGCAAGGAGAGGCCGTGAGTACCGCTCCAGCAGCTTCCAAACATCATCATGACATGAACAACAGTTTTCTTTTATTACAGAGCGTTTTATTGTTGTGCTTCTTCAGGGTTATAAGACAAACACTTTGTCACAGTTGAGACACTGAATTAAAACTACAGATTCATTGTTTTCCTTTATTTCCCCATTCTTGTTTTAGTCATTCATGCACCACGTCAGTGAGTTTAGCTTTAGGTTCCTTATGGGAGTGTAGTAAACAATGTAAAAAAACAAAACAAACAAGCTAATATTGGCGTTGTATATTGTCCATCGGCCGTTTTCAGCATCATTCTTTTTAAATCTCAATGAAAATAAGACAGAGTGTGTGCTGTTTGGTGACCTGGCAAACCTAACTGCTTCTAACCAGGGCCTGGCCCCTGGCTCGACGTCTGAAGTCAACTGTAAAAAAATCTAGGGGTGATGTTTGATGGCGACTTGAGGTTTGACAAGCAAATCAACTCAGTTGTGAAATCTAGCTTCTTCCTGAGACCTGAGACTGTTAAGCAAGATTTCTTTTAATGTTTCTGAGATTGCAGTCCATGCTTTTATCACTTCTAGACTTGACTATCACAAGGCTCTATACTATGGTGTTAACCATAGTATAGTCCCTCACTCGTCTCCAAATGGTGCAACACGCTGCTGCTTGTCTTTTGACAAGTACCAGGAAATTTGAGCATATAGCCCCGGTACTGGCTTCTCTCCACTGGCTTCCAGTCCATTTTAGAATTTAGAATTTAAGATGCTGATTTTTGTTTTTAAGGCTCTTAATGGTTTGGCTCCATTTTACCTCACTGAACTAGTACATCAGCACAAACCTACCAGGTCTCTCAGATCTTCAATCCAGTTTCTTTTAGAGGTTCCCAGGGTCAGATATAAACGCTGGGATGATTGTGCTTTTACTGTTGCAGCCCCTAAATGATGGAATAGTCCACCTTTTAATGTTGATCAGCTACTGACCTCAGTACTTTTAAATCATTGCTTAAAACTTATTTATTTGGCTTTTAATGCACAGTAGGGCCTGATTCATTCCTTTTAATTTTAATTTATTGAACGTGTGTCATCTGTGTATCTTGAGTTATTAGGCTGTTTTATTTTTGCACTGAACTTTTTATTCTATTTTAGTCATTTATTGTGGTTTTATTCTGCCATGTAAGATACTTTGGTCAACTGGATGTTGTTTTTAAAGTGCTATATAAATAAACTTGATTTGATTTGATAAGTGCGTCTGTGTCAGGACTAAGGAGGGCGGCGCCGTGAAGCTGTGGGACCAGGAGATGAAACGCTGTCGGGCGTTCCAGCTGGAGACAGGGCAGCAGGTGGAGTGTGTCCGATCAGTCTGCAGAGGCAAGGTGGGGACATTTGATTTTAATCTTCACCCTTCCATCTTCGCCATATGGCCTCCTCCACATCAGTCCTGTGTCTCCCTCAGGGTAAGATCCTGGTAGGGACGAAGGACGGGAAGATCATCGAGGTCGGTGAGAAGAACGCAGCGTCCAACCTGCTGCTGGACAGCCACGCTCGGGGAGGGATCTGGGGTCTGAGCGCTCACCCTGCTAAAGAGCTCTGCATCAGCGCCAGCGACGATGCCACCATCAGGATGTGGGACCTCACCGACAAGGTACAGACCGCGGCCGCTTCTCTCTGAAGTGCTCAAACACCGACTACTTCATTTTCTCAATGAATCCATTAAGCTTTTATTGTACATGACAGGTATGTCAAACCTGCAGCAACCTTTTGACCACTTGGTGGCAGCAGACACAGGATTGACAAATCATTACCTTTTAAGTTGATCAGTCTCTTATTTCCACCTCCAGCAGAAACAGGTCAACATGCTCCTCCATGCACAGTGTCCCCCCCGCCGTTCACTCTGGGTTTGGTCTCCACCATCTCCTGAGGGAAACCTTTGGAGTTCTAAATGCTCCACTGTGTTCACCAGCCGCTCTCTGGCTCTGTCTGCTGTTCACTGCTCAGCAGGTCGTAGACAGCAGCTGTTTAGAGCATCTCCTCTGAGAACAGCTGCTTCCTGCTGCGGCCCAGATCCTCGCCATAACAGGGTTTCTGCAGGTCCTTTAAAAAGTCTTAGAGTCTAAGATCCAGTGAACGGAATTTTAGGCCTTAAAGAGTCTTGAATACAAATTTTCTTCAAGCTGACTGATTGGGTTCAGGGCAAGCTGATTTTAAACTGACGGTGCTTCCATAATGCCGTGTTATGGACATGAAACTGCACTCGGTGGTCTGACAGAAAGTCTTAGTAAGGCCTAAAGTTCGCAGAGCGCAGTGGCAGTGAGGCCGGGCTGTGGTCGGCCTGCTGCTGCTGACTTCAGTGAAAACCTGTACATCTCTCTATACACTAATATTGGATGAGTGGTAAATCTCCTCTGTCTCCTTGTAGAAACTGTTGAACAAGGTGAGTGTCAGCCATGCAGCCCGATGTGTGAGCTACAGCACAGACGGGGAGATGCTGGCAGTGGGGATGAGGAATGGCGAGTTCCTTCTCCTCCTTGCCAACTCGCTCAAGATGTGGGCGAAGAAACGAGACCGCAGTGCCGCCATCCAGGACATCCGGTAGGAGAGGGACGGAAAGAAGATGTGCACTTCACAAACATTTCAAATTCATACAAATAAACATGAACCAAGTCCTGGAAATCTGACACGTCCACATCATCATGGTGTAAACAAAACAGGAAATGGACGTGTTTTCATCCTGCGTATCTTTCCAGGTGGAGTGAGGACACAGGATTTTGCGCTACATGTTAAGTGGGTGTTGCTGTGTGTGAACTCTGCAGGTTCAGTCCAGATCGGAGGCTGTTGGCGGTCGGTTCGGCAGAGAACACTGTGGACGTGTATGATGTTAGCGGAGGAGCGAGTCTGACCCGACTGGTTTACTGCAGCGACATCCCTGCTTTCATCCTGCAGCTGGACTTCTCTGCTGACAGCTGCTACATACAGGTACGCACGTATATACTGTGCACACACTGCTCTTATATGCAGGTACATAAACATATGTATCAGTGTTGTTGTACTTGAGTCCAGGATTCTGACTCAAGTCCAGATTTTAGGACTCGTGACTTGACTTGAGCACTGACTGCATTTGGACTTGGAGGTTGTTGAAGAGGACTCTGTTTGTAATAAGCTCTAACAATTTGACATAAGAGGTTATTAAAACCTGTCCATTCGCGCGCCATGCTGTGTCCGTGGTATCCACTCCCATCACGTGCACACTCCACCTTACTATAAATGATTTTCATGTGTCAAATAGCCGAGCAGTATGGTGATGCAATACACAGGACACTTTTGAATATTTTTCATAATTGGCTGTTTTTTTATTTTTATTTTTGCAGATTAGAGCACAGAGAGAAAAGTTCATGTAAATGGTTTGTTTTTATTTTAAAGGTAACTAATTTGATTTATTTATTCTTTCAAGCATGTAAAGACAGTTGATATGACAACACACATAATTTTACACATATCCAACAAATGCTAATCCAATATCAAT